ATTACAAATTATTCACAAGAGCTATAACCAACACTGGAAACTTGACCCATTCCTAAACTTTCCAAATTCACTTATGAAAATGACAAAAGCTATGCTTTTACCTTATAAATATAAACCTTAGAAGGAAATGGAAAAATCTACAGACTCTAAAAAAGAATAAATAAAACTATCTTGGTTGGCTATCCTGGTTGTGATGAAAACAAACGAATGAATAAAGCAGGACAGTGGTGCTACAAACACACTCATGTTTGTATATGCTTATACACTTATAGAAAAATATACCAGAAACTTTACCAGTGAGTCTATCTCGGGAAGGGAACTAGATGACTTAATGTAAGGGTGAGAAGAAATTTAGTCAACACTTTTGAATGTTAGACCATCTCTTAAATGTATTACCCCCCAAAATAAATGAAGTTTCCCAAAAATAAATGAGTTTGTTTCACTGGTAATAGTTAATGTTTTGGGATACATTAAAAACTCAATTTAAAACACTGTAGGGGCACCTGGGTGGCTCAGCCAGTGAAGCATCTCCCTTCGGCTCAGGTCATGATCCTGGAGTCCTGGGATCGAGCCCCGCCTCGGGCTCCCTGGTCTGCGGGAAGCCTGCTTCTCCCTCTCCCACTCCCCCTGCTTGTGTTCCCACTCTCACTGTGTCTCTGTCAAATAAATAAATAAAATCTTTAAAAAAATAAAAATAAATATAAAAAACACTGTAAAATTTCACCCTCTTACTCAACTTGGCAAATAGAAGCCAAAATTCAGTTGTTTTTAAGAATATATTTTTCTATTCCAGCATACATGTATATAACCTCTCTAAAGCAATAATACGATCTCTTTTAATGACCAGATATTATTCATTTATAAATGACAAAAATATAAATTCAGCTGCTTATTCTATGTTGGATTAAGATTTCAACCATAAACCTGGGATAGTTTTAACTGGAAGCTCTGTAAGACTGAAAAACAACATGCCTGCTATCCATATGATAGGTCTCTCCAAATGGAGAATTCAGTCCAATACAGTATGTTTAGAGAACTGACAATCAGCTTCACCATTACATTATTTCAAATACACAAACAAGGCAAAAGCCTAACATTTAATCTATTTGGAACACTTTTTTCTTTAAATACTTTTAACCAAAATTAATTTTACTTTTTTTAAGATTTATTTCTGAGAGTGAGCGAGTACTGGAGTGCAAGCGGGGGGAGGGGCAGAGGGAGCAGGAGACAGACTCCCTGCAGAGCAGAGAGCCTGACACAGGGCCTGATCCCAGGACCCTGAGATCATGACCTGAGCTGAAATCAAGAGTTGCACACTCAAATGACTGAGCCTCCCACCACACCCCCAAAATTAATTTTAAATGGAAAATACGACTGTCAAAAAAAACTGCTGTCCTTTCATATGTGCTTATGCGATACTGAGAGGAAAAGAGGAAAGGGATACCTAGTCTAGATTATGACACTAAAGAGACATAACTAACCTTGATGGAACCCTGATTTTTTTTTTAAGATTTTATTTATTTAACAGAGAGAGAGAGAGAGCACAAGCAGGGGGAGTGGGAGAGGGAGAAGCAGGCTCCCTGCTGAGCAGGGAGCCCAATCTCAGGGCTTGATCCCAGTATTCTGGGATCATGACCTGAGCTGAAGGCAGATGCTTAACCGAATGAGCCACCCAGGCGCCCTGGAACCCTGATTTAAAAAAAAAAATTTTTTAAACAAGTGTCAGCAAGGATGTGGAGAAAAGGGATACCTTGTGCACTGTTGGTGTGAATGTAAATTGGTGAAGCCACTATGGAAAACAGTATAGAGGTTCCTCAAAATATTAAAAACAGTAACTACTCTATGACCCAGCAATTCTACTTCTGAGTATTTCTCTGAAAAAAAAAAAACAAAACTACTAATTCAAAAAGATATGCACCCCATGTTTACAACCTCCCAAGTGTCCACCAACAGATAAATGGATAAAGAAAGTGTGCGTGTGTGAATTAAGAACTGCAGTATTATTTGGCCATAAAAAAGAATGAAATTTTGCCATTTTTGACAACATAGATGGACCTTGAGGACTAAGTGAAATAAGTCAGACAGAGAAAGACAAATACCGTATAGGTGAAACTTACATGTGGAATCTAAAAACAAACAAAAATAGCCACACACATAGACTTAAGAAAACAGATTGGTGGTTGCCAGAGGCGGGGGATGGAGGTGGGAGACATGGGTGAAGGGGATCAAGACGCACAAACTTCCAGTTATAAAATAAGTCATAGGGATGTAATGGACACTATGGTGACTCTAATTAATAATTCTGTACTGCAGGGCGCTTGGGTGGCTCAGTGGGTTAAGTGTCTGCCCCAGGTTAGGCTCTCTGCTCAGCAGGGAGGCTGCTTCTCCCTCTCCCTCTGCCTACCACTCCCCCTGCTCGTGCTCTCTGTCAAACAAATAAATAAAATCTTTAAAAAATAATAATACTGTAGTGCACATCTGAAAGTAGCTAAGAGTGTAGATCTTAAAAGTTCTCATCACAAGAAAAGAAACTTTGTGACTATGTAAGGTGATGGCTGTTAACGAAATCTGTGGTGATCATTTTGCAATACACACAAATATCAAACCATTATGTTGTACACATGAAAATGATATAATATTTTATGTCAACTATACCTCAATTTTAAAAATATAGTGCAAAAAAAAGTTATAAAAAATAATTTATTGAATTTATACAGTTCAATTTGGTAAACTGGGTAAATAAAATTAGGTAAATAGGGGTGCCTGGGGTGGCTCAGTTGTTAAGCGTCTGCCCTCGGCTCGGGTCACGATCCCAGGGTCCTGGGATCGAGCCCCGCATCAGGCTCCCTGCTCGGCGGGAAACCTGCTTCTCCCTCTCCCACTTCCCCTGCTTGTGTTCCCTCTCTCACTATCTCCCTCTATGTCAAATAAACAAATAAAATCTTTAAAAAAAAAATAGGTAAATAGAATTGACCTAGCTATGGCAGATAAACAGAATAAGAATTAATATTAGGTAATTATTGCTAATTTTATCTTCTTATTGCTACTGTGGTAGAGAAAATTTCTTCATTCCTACTGATGATGACCACTGAGATTTTTATTTTTATTTTTATTTTTTATTATGTTCAATTAGCCAACACATAGTACATTAGTTTTTTTTAACATTCTTTTTTTTTAAGATTTTATTTATTTGAGAAAGCGAGAATGAGAGAGAGAGCACATGGGGGGCGGGGTCAGAGGGAGAAGCAGGCTCCCCGCCGAGCAGGGAGCCCGATGCGGGACTCGATCCCGGGACTCCAGGATCATGACCTGAGCCGAAGGCAGTCGCTTAACCGACTGAGCCACCCAGGCGCCCCAGTACATTAGTTTTTGATGTAGTGTTCAGTGATTCATTAGTTGCATATAACACCCAGTGCTCATCACAACACATGCCCTCCTTAATACCCATCACCCAGTTACCCCATCCCCCACCCCCCTCCCTTCTGGAACTGAAGAGGAACTGAAATCTCTAATGAAGCTGCTATGTGTATTTATGAATATTAATGAATAAAAACTGCTTGGACAGTTTACCTTTTTTTAAGATTTATTTATTTGACAGAGAGAGAAAGCAGGAACACAAGTAGGGGGAGTGGGAGAGGGAGAAGCAGGCTTCCCATGGAGCAGAGAGCCCGATGTGGGGCTTGATCCTAGGATGCTGGGATCATGACCTGAGCCGAAGACAGACGCTTAACGACTGAGCCACCCAGGCGCCCCTGGACAGTTTACCTTTAAAACATGTCTCGTTGCTGGATATCTGAATTGGTTTTTTTTGATTGTTGGGGTTTTTTTTTTAAGATTTTATTTATTTAATTTTAAAGAAAGGAAGAGCAAGCACACAAGCAGGGGGGAGAGACAGCGGGAGGGGGAGAAGCGGACTCCCTGCTGAGCAGAAAGCCCCAATACGACACGACGGGGCTCTATCCCAGGACCCTGGGATCATGACCTGAGCCCAAGGCAGACGCTTACCCGACTGAGCCACCCAGGCACCCCATATATTTGAATTGTTTGAAAACATATCCTACTAAAACTCAAATCGCACTGATCATCATTGTACATAAAGCTTTAAGTAAAAAGAATCTTTGCTGCCTTGGGTGAAAAAAAAACACTTCTTCTAGGCTGTATTTTAGTTTACTTGATTATTAAGAAAAGGTTAAATGCCGGGGGCACCTGGGTGGCTCAGTCGGTTAAGCATCTGCCTTCGGCTCAGGTCATGATCCCAGGGTCCTGGGATACAGCCCCACGTCAGGCTCCCTGCTCAGTGGGGTAAAAAAGATACACAGCAAAGTTGTACCACTCTAATACTCTTTGTAACATCTATTTGCAATGCCTCCACAGAACACCTAAATCTTGGGGGTAGGGGATATGGTATCACTAGAGCACAAAGAACAAGAAACTAGGAAAGCTAAGTTGGCCTCTATTTAGGGCTCTGATAACTTCCTTGCCTATCCTGGAGAAATTTTTGACACTTTGATCTCTAAAGGAAGGAATAAGATGAAGGACCACTAAGGGTGCCAGGGTGGCTCAGTCAGTTAAGCGTCTGCCTTTGGCTAAGTCATGATCTCGGGGTCCTGGGATCAAACCCACATTGAGCTCCCTGCTCAATAGGGAGCCTGCTTCTCCCTCTCCCTCTTCCCCTCCCCACTGCTTGAGCGCTCTCTCTCAGTAAATAAAATCTTTTTAAAAAATAAATTTCAGAAAACCATTCTATGATTTAATAGAGATCAATGTAGACAAATAAAATATTATTTTGCAAAAAGTCTTTCAGTCAAGTTCACAGGCATAAGCAACCAGAGAGAAATAACTAATAACTTCTGTATATCTATAACATGGAATTTTATAATCACTAAATATCTTGAAACATTTAAACTACACGATCCAATGTTAAGTGGAAAAATCAGATTGTAAACAATTACAATTACTTTAAAAGAACCGTATGCTTTTGTGCAAAAGCCAAAAAATAGGTGCTTGCTTCAGCAGCACATACACTAAAACTGGAACAATACAGAGAAGATTGGCATGGTCCCTGCACAAGTATGACATGCAAATTCATGAAACGTTCCACAAAACAACACAAAACAACAAAAAAAAGCTCCCCAAAATGGAAAGGAACATAAAAAGAAAAAAAGTAACAATGCATGGGAGTTACAGTAATATTTGGCTGTCTTCTTTATACCTTCAGCTTTTCCAAGCCATCCACGACAGATATGGATTACTTTTATAAGAAGGTAGGAGTGATGTTTTTCTTTTTTCTTTTTTTTTTTTGTCCTTTCAGGTATTTTATTTTATTTATTTGACAGAGAGAGACACAGCGAGAGAGGGAATACAAGTGGGGGAGTGGGAGAGGGAGAAGCAGGGTTCCCACGAAGCAGGGAGCCTGATGCGGGGCTCCATCCCAGGACTCTGGGATCATGACCTGAACGGAAGGCAGACGCTCAACAACTGAGCCACCCGTAGGCGCCCCTGATGTTTTTCTTTTTAAAATACTCTTCTGAAATCTCCAACTCTGCCAGATACTCTCACAACCATTATTAGTAGATTCCTATACTGATGTTCTAAATTATTTTTGTTAATTTGTGATTATGCTCAATTTATTCAGCAGTCTTTGCACTCCCAAAATATACTATGCATAATCCTTGAAAACACATATCTCACTGGTAAAAAGCCACATGTCTATCTTTCTGCCTAAATCGCAGTTTCCATGTAAGCAAGAACTGAATGTTTTTATTTTTTCTTAAAGATTTTATTTGAAAGAGAGCATGCATGCCCCAGTGTGCGCACATCCGCGCGGGCACACAGGCGCACAGGCGCACAGTGGGGGAGGGCCAGGGGGAAAGGGAGAACCAGGCTCCCCGCTGGGATCAGGACCTGAGCCAAAGGAAGATGCTTAACTGAGCCACCGCGCCCCAGGACTGAATGTTTTTAATCTCTGTATTTCCAATGTCTTGCATGCCGCCTGGCACATATAAAAATTGTCACAGATATCCATTAAAATATATACTAACAGAAAATCACCATTGGAACACCCAATAATACTTGCTGCATACAGGTTCCACCAATGGATGCTAAAATTAGTGGACAAAAGTTTGAGAGCAGTATATTTACATAATTTCAAAGTATCACCTCCAAGATACTTATTAGTTACAAAGGAAAAAACATTAACTATGCAGTACAGAGGATCAGCAAAGTATTTGCTCACAGGGGTGCCTGGGTGGCTCAGTCAGTAAGCATCTGCCTTCAGCTCGGGTCAGGGTCCCAGGGTCCTGGGATCGAGCCCCACATCGGGCTCTCTGCTCAGCGGGAAGCCTGCTTCTCCCTCTCCCACTCCCCCTGCTTATGTCCCCTCTCTCGCTATGTCTCCCTCTGTCGAATAAATAAATAAAATCTTAAAAAAAAAAAGAATTTGCTCACAGAACATTAATTTTTCTGTTTGTATATTACAAGGAATGAGCTAAGAGAATTTTCACCAAATTGAAAGGGTATGTTCAGGGGCGCCTGGATGGCTCAGTTGTTAAGTGTCTGCCTTCAGCTCAGGTCATGATCCCAGGGTCCTGGGATCAAGCCCCGCACTGGGCTCCCTGCTCGGCGGGAAGGCTGCTTCTCCCTCTCCCACTCCCCCTGCTCGTGTTCCCTCTCTCGCCGTCTCTCTCTCTCTCTCTCGCTGTCTCTCTCTCTCTCATCAAATAAATAAAATCTTTAAAAAATAAATAAAAAATAAAAATAAGAATCTTAAAAAAAAAAAAGAAGAAAGTGTATGTTCCAGATAGTCTAAACTTAAAATACAGAATACCTGTTGCACATACAAAATAAACCTTTTGGGGGAGTGGGGAAGACAATCCTTGAGATACACAAAGAGATAAAGTTCATTTGCCAGAATAACTGTAACAGAGACAATTAATTAATGTTAATAACCCTCTTAACTATCAAGAGACATGTCTTCTTTGTTAAGACTCTTGGACAGAGAAAGCAAATGGTGGTTTCAACTACCGCTCAACAGGTTGGCAGAGCATAGAGACTTGATCTGCTACTGAAATACTTCTCTGAGAAAGTCTTAAAAAGAGTGTATGAGGATACCTGGGGGGCTCTGTCTGTTAAACTTCTGACTCTTGATTTTGGCTCAGGTCATGATCTCAGAGTTGTGAGATGAGGTCCCAGTTGCTAGGCTCTGTATTGGGCAGGGAGTCTGCTTATCTCCCTCTCTCTCTGCCCCTCCCCCCATTAACAGACGTGTGCGCCTCCACGCGCATCGCGCACAAGTCGCGAGTCTCTCAATCTTAAAAAAAAAAAAAAAAAAGAGGGGCTCCTGGGTGACTCAGTTAAGTGTCTGCTTTCGGCTCTGGTCATGATCCCAGGGTCCTCGGATCCAGCCTGGCATCAGATCCAGCCTGACTTGGATCCAGCCTGACTTAGGGCTCCCTGCTCAGCAGGGAGTCTGCTTCTCCTTCTCCTCCTGCCCTTTCCCCCTGCTTGTGCACTCTCTCTCCCTCTCAAATAAATTAAAAGAAGAAATCTTGGGGTGCCTGGGTGGCTCAGTTGGTTAAGCCGCTGCCTTCAGCTCGGGTCATGATCCCAGAATCCTGGGACCGAGCCCCACGTCAGGCTCCCTGCTGCGCGGAGAGCCTGCTTCTCCCTCTCCCTGCTACTCTGCCTACTTGTGCTCCCTTTCTATCTCTCTATTAAATAAATAAATAAAATCTTTTTTAAAAAATCTTTAAAAAAACAGTTTTTTGGGGGGGCGCCTGGGTGGCTCAGTTGGTTAGGCAACTGCCTTCGGCTCAGGTCATGATCCTGGAGTACCGGGATGGAGTCCCGCATTCGGCTCCCTGCTCAGCAGGGAGTCTGCCCTCTGACCCTACCCCCTCTCATGTTCTATCTCATTCTCTCTCTCAAATAAATAAAACCTTAAAGTTTTTTTATTTTATAAATTAAAAAAATAAAAAGTGTGTGTATGAAAAATTAAAAAGCAGGATGACCGCTCTAAATAAACAAGATCAAGGATACAACCAAATGGAACACATAAACCTTGATTATTAGGTCCTGGGGTTTGAAAAAAAAAATATCAAAGACCATTTGAATGTAGACCAGATATTACATAATAATAGGGAACTATGGCAAATTTTCTTAGATGTGATACTGCATGTTGCTACTGCATGCTGAATGAAGCATTATGTAATGATGTCTGCAATTACTCTCAAATAGTTAAAAAATATGTATATACATATGTATGAATGCAGAGATAGACTGTTACAGGTTTAATTACCTCCCCTCCTCAAAATCACTATGCTGAAGTCCTAACCCTCCGTATCTTATTGGGGAATAGGGACATTGCAGATGTCGTTAGTTAAGATGAAGTCATATGGAATAGGATGAGTCTGTAATTCAATAGGATTGGTGTCCTCATAAAAAGGAGAAATTTGGACACACGTAAAGAATGGAGTTACACTGGCACAAGCTAAGGAACTACCAGAAACTAGGAGAGCGGTCTGGAACAGATCCTTCCCTAACACCATCAGAGGGAACAAGGCCCTACTGACACCTTGATCTCAGTCACCTAATCTTTAGAACTGTAAGACAGTAAGTGACTATTGTTTAAGCCACTCAGTTGTGTTATGGCAGCCCTAGCAAACTAATAGAAAAACAAAATACCGTAAAATTGTAACAAATGTTGAATCTGGGAGGCAAGTATATGGTATTTACTAACTTCTTTCAACTTTTGTGTATATCTAAAATGTTTAATACCTTAGGTAATGCCTTAGAAATGTGTGAATATTCTGTTTTCCAGCAATCAACCCTTTAGTAGCCACTGATAATATTTACCTGAGTAAAACGAACTTTATCAATATCCATAAAATAACTTGCTGGGATTTTGACTGGGCTTACACTGAATCTACAAATCAAATTGAAAAGAACTGCCATCTTGACAATATTGAATCTTCCTGTTCATGCATATGGAGAAATTTTTCCATTTATTTAGGTATTCTTTGATTTCCTTCAAAGAGTTTTACAGGAAACTCCAAAGAGTTTTCCTCATGTAGATCTTGTACACTTTTGGGGGGTTTTTTTGTTGTTGTTTGTTTTTTTTAAAGATTTTATTTATTTACTTGACAGAGAGAGACACAGCGAGAGAGGGAACACAAGCAGAGGGAGAAGCATGCTTCCCGCTGAGCAGGGAGCCCGAGGCAGGGCTCGATCCGAGGACCCTGGGATCATGACCTGAGCTGAAGGCAGACACTTAACAACTGAGCCACCCAGGCGCCCCTGTACACTTTTTTTGGATGAAACCTAAGTCGTTGTGTTTTTTTTGGGGGGGGGGGGCTAATACAGATGGCACTGCTTTAATTCCAGATTTGAATTGTTCATTGCTGGTATATAAGAAAGCAACTGGCTTTTGTATATTTACCTTGTATTCTGAAACCTTGCTATAATCACTTATTAGTTACAGAAGATTTTTGTTAATTCATGAAATTTTCTACACAGACAATCACATCATCTATGAACAAAAACAATTTTAGTTCTTCCTTCCCAATCTGTCTTTTATTTCCTTTTCTTGTCTTACTGCATTCTCTAGGACTTCCAGGACAGTGTTGAAAAGGAGTGGCAAGCATGGACATCTTTGCCTTGTTCCAGATATTAGCATCTAATTTCTCACTATTTTTTTTAAGATTGTATTTATTTACTTGAGAGAGCAAGAAAGGGAGCGAGCATGAGAAGATGGAGGGGCAGAGAGAGAGGAACAAGCAGACTGCCCGCTGAGCAGGGAGCCAGACACAGGGCTTGATCCCAGGATTCTAAGATCATGACCTGAGCAATAGTCAGACGCTTAACCAACTGAGCCATCCAGGCACCGCATAATTTCTATTGAGTGTGAGGGTTTTGTAGATGTGCCTGATTAATCTATTAACATAATATAAATTTTCTTCATAAACTCATATGATGTAATGAAGTACATTAGTTCATTTTTGAGTGTAAACCAGGCATGCATACCTGGAATAAACTCCATTTTGTCATAATGTATATAATTCTTTTTATTCACCATTAGATTCAACTGACTATTCTGTTGAGAATGTCTGC